GGGTAATTGAAGTCACCCATGACAACCATGGTCCTGGAGCAAGCTGCCTCAGCCAGTTCCTGGGCAAACTCCTGGTCAAGCTCAGGACTTTGGGTGGGAGGTCTGTAATAGACTCCCACCATTGTGTCCCCTGTGCCATTTTCCCCACGGATTTTAACCCAGAGGGTCTCCAGTCATCCACCCTGGTCGCCAATATCGGCTTGCAGGGATGTGGAATTTTGGTTTCTTGGAATCCAAAAAATCCTTGGAATTTTCCCAGACCCTTGTGCAAGCACAGCCTGAGTATAAACGTGCGCACCCCTCCCCAATTTTGCCAGCCCCCTTTCACAAATGAATCCCCCTTGCCTCGAGTGGATGCTGCTCTTAGTCAGCCCAGCCTCAGCCCACCAGTGTGCAGGCTGCTCCTTTGCATGCATGCAGACACTAGTGTGTGCAGAAACAGGCTTGGCCGTGTGGTGCCACACTGTGACATTCAGGCACCTGGTTCTGCTCCTGCAAGACCTAGAAATATTCCTGGCAGCTTCTAACAGAGCATCCTGAGAGCACATTGGAGGATTCGCATGATAGCGAGAGGACTTTGTCCCTGACCTGATAAACAACACTTTCTAACTCTCTCTTTTCCAGTAAGGCACAGGCTCACTTCATTCATTACCTGGTAAAAGTGTGTGGAAAGAACATACAGCAGAGCCCTGATGCAGCCTCTGGAAGAAAAGGAGTTGGAATCTGATGAAACCTCAAGAGTCCCTGGTGGCAACTGGTCACTCGAGTGCCAGATCCAAAAGGCGGCATGTTCTGGGGCAAGGGTGGCCAACCTGCAGCAGAGGTGCCACAAGTGGACAACTTGTGTGTATTTGGACATGGCAGATGGGGAGGGGACAGGAAGCATGCTGACAAATAAGGCGGGGAACAGAAAGCAGAGCAGCAAGCCAGGGAGGGAGCACAAAGGAGGAAAAAGAAAGCGTAGCAGCAAATCAGGGTGGGAGCACAGGGCAGGGAACAGAAAGCAGAGCAGCAGCTTGGGCAGAGGAAGAGGGTCAGAGAGGCAGTTGGGGACAGCATGCCTGCAAAAGGTTGGTCCCCGCTGCTGTAAGGGACACGCTCTGACCTGGGCACGTGGCAGAGGAGATCTGTCAGCGAAAGGAGGGAAGAGAGAGAAGCCGGGGAGTGCGTTCCCTTGGGGAGTGCTCTGCCAAGGCTGCTAGGCAGTTCTGCCTCTGCTTAAGAAAGCACCCCACAGAGCATGCAGCTCCCTGAATGCAGCTATCTCCGGGTGTCTGATCACTCTGGGCTCATGTAGCTGGCTGCTGTGGATTGTATCCTTGTGTGTGGCAGCCATGAACTCTGCCTCCTGCGCTCTCTTTTGGAGCTGGGAAGCGGTGCTGCTCAGTTGCCTGCTGAAACCCCTGAGGACTGCTTGACAACCATTCATATGAGGATGGAAGTGCAAATACGGGAGCACCTGGAACTGGGCCAGGGCCCTTTAGGACTCTCCTTTCTCAGCTGGAGGGAGCACCATTGGGTGGGGGAAAAGCCTGCCGCATTAGTTGCTTTGGGTGGATCTCTCCTCCAGAGAGAGCTGATGGTCACTGGACTTCAGGGTAGGAGAGACTGGGGCTCGGTGCGCAACAATAGCTACAGCTTCAGAACGAGATCAGCATTTGGCGCTGAATCCCTCTGGCCTTCAGGGCTGTGCTGGATGTGGGGACCTTCATGGCAGCCTCCAGGTCTCTGTTGCAGCCATGGTAGGGATCTATCTCTCCCTGGGACATCCAGAGTGTTGTGCTCCCTGGTCCGGTGCATTTTCACTCAGCCACACAGTGTGAATAGCACCTTCCTATGAACGGGAACATCCCCAACGTGCTGTGCATGCAGAATCAGCATCAGCTCGTTGGCCCTGCAACACTGGGGAGCTGAGGGAACATGCCCTTGCTTTTCTTTTGCTGCACCAGGAAGTACAAACTGACCTAACCCCCAGGAGCTGCTGGAGAAGGAGGCAACCTCATTTCTTGACACCATATATATTCAGGATATATAGTGGCCTACTTGTATTCTGCAGTGGCTGAGAGCCGGGAAGGTGTCTGGCCTCTCTCCTCTTGCTGCTTGGTTGCAGAGCCCCCAGATCCTTGTATCAGTCACCATTGCCCAGCAGTTCCCACTGCCAGAGAACTGGCAGCTGGCAAATGGTGTAGACTCTTGACCACCATGTAACTCCTAGTACTGAACACAAGCAGGTCTGTCCCAGTCTTTTCTCAAGGTCATACAGGGTACTGGGCAAGATAGACCTATTGCCTGATCCAGGCAAGTCTTATGTTCTTATCCAGTGTTTCCTTCTGTTGTCTCTGTCTATGCTGTTTCCACACCTCACGCTGCTTCATATCTGCCCTTAGCTGGGAGTGCGCGGCTGGACAGTAGAAAGAGTCCTAAGGTTGCTGCAGGCCTGTCTCTAGTCCTAGGTATGAACCATGTATTCTTTTCACGATATCCTGTCTTAAATTGGTGGGGATTACTCCTCTGTGGGTGTGTCTACATGTGAAATGAATGTGAAAGAAGGAACTCTGGTGCATATCACACCAGAATTTATTGTTCCTGGGTGCCACGTCCTCACATGCTCCTGGGACTGCAGTGTGTTGAGCAAGATCAGGGCATCCCCAGGTAGCAGTGGGTCCCAGGGGTTAGCCTGCCAGTCCTGGGGCTGCCCCAACCCAGCTGAATGTGCTGTGCAGGACCTGGTTGGGGCGCAAGGGTATTCCAGTATTTTGGGGTAGCCGGCAGGCAGCCGTGCACTGAAGCACCCTCACACTCTAGCCAGCCCTGCCAGTGTCTACATGTGCGGTGCTGTGTACTGAATGCTTCCACTGCAGGATAGTACCTGTATTTACAAGTACTAACTTGCAGTTAAATGAATTAGTTTCTCGAGCCTAATAGGGCTGCACACGTAGATGGTGAAACTTTACTGTGGAGAAAATTAGGTAGCTCTGCAGTAAACTGCTCATGTAGACGCACCCTGTCACCTTTAAACAAACACTCATCTTGCACACAGCTCTCCCTTAACTTGCCAGTAGGGACTGACTTCCTGGGGCACTTGTTGCTTGTGATCTGGTCAACCCTGATGCCTCACCTCTGTGACACCTCTGGGGACTGTTCTTGTTCTGCACCAGCTATTGTTTTAATTCTTTCCTTAGATAACCCAGTTGCTCTTGCTATTTGGAGGCATTTCTCTGGAGTCAGCTCAACTTGTCTCAGCAACTCTCCCTTGCCTTAAAATCAGCTGTCCCATAAATAATTCTGTCTCTAATAATGGAGCTTGTCACACTTCCCAAACGACATGTGCATGTCAATATTCAGCTCTATAACATTATGATCTATTCCCTGTTCTGGATACTGATTGCATATTGAAAAAACAGTATTTGTCCATTTTCTCATTTTTTTTCTGGGCTCACAGTATTCATCAAAAGTCTTCATCAGCAGCTCTGCTCTTTTGGGTCCTTCATGGAAAAATGTTGAATGCACCTCTCTGCCCTTTAAACCAGTGATGTAATGAAAAAGTTTTAGCTTAATTTTCTTATCCTTGTCTGCCATGATGAACTGTGAATACAAAGTCAGCCCTTGCTTCTATGCCAGTGCCAGGTTCTTTGACTGGAAAGCCAAATGTGTAGGAGGTTTGAGTCCTTCCATGCAGCCTGCTCTCTTTGCTGTGTATGTGATGCTAGAAAAAATTTAAGTCACACTCTGCTATTCTGTTTAGCTGCTGCCACCATCTCATACATGGAGCCCTGTGCCATAGTAAAGGGACTCCATTTGAACTGGATCTTGATCTTTATTAAGTGCACTACTACATTCAGTACTGCTCCCTGCTGCCTAAGCACTTGGCAGCTCAGAATCATTTGTCTTGCAACTCTAGTTCCTAATGATGGGTTCCCTGAGATTTCTGACAGCCTGTGGTTTGGATGAGCTCTTGTCTGTGAACTATGAACTGCTACCTGAGTACAAAGGGTGAACAGCTTTCTCCAGAAGCTCAAAGGGCTGGAATTTTCCCCAGGGACTCCTGCCACCTAAGAAGATAAGAGTCATTTCCAAGAAGGGATACACCCAGCCGTGCAAGCTCTCAACTCAGGAAAGTGAAACTAGCACCAGTACTCTCCCCTCGGAGCCATGGCTGCTGACAACCCTGTAGGAAATCTCCAAGATGAAGTGACCTGCTCCGTCTGCCTGGACTTCTTCAGGGATCCAGTGATGATCGTGGGCTGTGGGCACAACTTCTGCCGAGCCTGCATCACCCAGTGCTGGGAGGGGACCAAGATGGATGTCACCTGCCCCCAGTGCAGACAGACCTTTCCCCAGAGGAACCTGAACCCAAACAGGCAGCTGGCAAATGTTGTAGAAATAGCCAAGAGGCTGCGTGTGCAGAAAGCCGAGGGAGCCGAAGGGCAGCGAGTGTGTGGGGAGCACCAGGAGGCTCTGAAACTGTTCTGCCAAGATGATGAAACCCCCATCTGTGTGGTGTGCGACCGATCCCGGGTACATCGAACTCACAACGTGGTTCCCGTTGAGGAGGCTGCTGAGGAGTACAAGGTAGGAACCACTGCTTGGCTAATGCGCATCAGTTTTAGATTTAATTGCAGGTTCATTTGTTCCCACACTTCCTTTCACCTGTCATCTTTCACCCTCAGGTGCTGGTGTGATCAGCTATGGGGAACTTCCCTTGTAGGGAGCAGGCTACAAAATTAAATTAGGCGTGTAACGATCTCTAGGGGTTCCTCCGACAAAAACAGCTCTTAAATGAGAAAGACACAAAACCTCTTCTTAACAGTCCTGGAACATTGGTTCAAACAGGACCCTTCCCCTTTCCTGGTCCCCAGCGTTCACTTAAAGCTTAACCTTACATACCAGCAAGGATCCTTGCTTTCCCAGATAAAAAAAAAAAAAATCACAAATTCTCTGATATAAAAACCCTAAAGACATGGAAAAATGAAAATGTGTTTTCTGGATTATGGAGCAGCAGAGGCCTGGATGAACGTTCACTAGTGACTGGGTGGGGTGGGTAGGGGAGACCCTTGCCCCACCGATTTGTGTGCAGGGTCAGGACAGTGGTGGGCACAGGCTGCCTGCTGTGGGCTCGGGCTCCCCGCCTTGCTGCCCTCTCCAAAGGCCTCGGCAGCCCAGCGGGCGCGACCTGGTACTGCAAGGAACAGTGGGGCCGCACAGGGAAGCTTCTTGCTGTTGTGAGACCTGTACTGCCCTGGCAAGGCACCCCCTGCCTGAAATGCGGGGGTGGTGGCACAGAGTTGTGCCCCGACAATCCTGGGGGAGGACAGCAGGGCAAGGAGCCCAAGCCTGCAGTGGGCAATCTGTGCCTACCCAGTCCCCACCCTGCACACAGATCTGAGGGGCATGGGTCCCTCCTACCCGCTGGGAGTGTGTGCAGCACCAGGAAGCCAGCCACATCCCACCTCTCGGATGAGATGCCTGTAGCCCCATCCTGCTCCCTGCGGGGGCCCATTGGCCACATGTAGCCCTGGGCCCAAGCCCCACATACTGCCTGGCTTGGGAGCAGCCCCAGCCCTACCCAACTCCCTCACTCCCTTCTAATGTGGCCCTCAATCCCCACCAATTTACCTGCAGGAGTTGTCTCTCCTTCATATTCTGTGCCTTCTGCAGTCCTTTCATAGCATCTCTTGAAGTGCGCCTGAGTTCACAAAGGCTTGTGCTCCATAAACATATGTTATTTACTTAGTCTGTGAAGGTGCATATCTACCCTACCTCCTGGTAGAGTTTAGAGCATCATTGGAGTGAACCCTACCATTCCTCACACCTCAGCTATGCTAATGGAGTTGCTCTCTGATTACACCCCTTCTGTCCAGGCAGTACAGTTACCAGAGGCTTTATGGCTGAACCCCTTAGGCCGTGTCAGCTCTACAGTCTCAGACACAAACCTTCAATAATCTCACTCTCAGACTTTTGGTTTCCCTCTTTGAGAATTCAGTCAAGGACCAGGCCCAAAAAAGATGCCTGTGGCCTGAAGTTCCATCCTCAACTTCAGGATTTGATTGCACTTTGGAAGTATCTACAGTGTCATGGACATACTTGGGTCTGCAAGGAGCTGTCTTGGCATTTGGGTAACCAAAAAAAATCTTCATTAGCATTCCTCAAACTAAACCACTGAAATCATCATCAGACCCATCCACCATCAGAGGGTAGTGGTGGATGGGTCTTTTTCAACCTAGGGGGAAGTGGGCAGTGGAGTCCCCCAGGGCTTGGTCCTTGGGCCCGTGCTGTTCAATTTCTTTAGTGACTTGGACGACAGAGTAAAAAAGCAGCCTATATAAATTTGCTGATAATACCAAGATTTGGTGTGAGGTGAGTACACTAGTAGGGAAGGACAGATTACAGCAGAACCTGGACAGGTTACAGGGGTGGGCTAACGAAAATAGGATGGGTTTCAATACGGACAAGTGCAGGGTGCTGCACTTGGGCAGTGGGAACCAGCAGCACACTTATAAGCTGGGAAACTCCTTTCTTGAGAGCACAGTGGCAGAAAGAGATCTTGGAGTCATTATTAACCCCAAGATGAACATGGGCCGACAATGCGAGGTCACGTTCAGTAGGGCTAACCGTACCTTGTCGTGCATCCACAGGTGCATCTCAAGCAGGGCAAAGGAGATGATCCTCCCTGTCTATGAGGCACTGGTCAGGCTGCAGCTGGAGTACTGTGTTCAGTTCTGGGCGCTGCATTTGAGGAAGGATGTGGACAGCATTGAAAGGGTCCAGAGGAGGACCAGATCTGGGGACAGCCGGGCAGACCCTATGAAGAGAGGCTACGGGACCTGAACCTGTTCAGCCTTCACAAAAGAAGGCTGAGAGGGGACCTGGTGGCCATCTATAAACTCACCAGGGGGGACCAGCAGGGTTTGGGAGAGACCCAGTTCCCCCAAACGCCCCCCGGGGTAACAAGGAATAACGACCACAAATTGTTAGAGAGTAGGTTCAGGCTAGATATCAGGAGGCACTTCTTCACAGTCAGGGCGGCTGGAACCAGCTTCCAAGGGAAGTGGTGCTGGCTCCTACCCCGGGGGCTTGTGGTGCTGGCTCCTACCCTGGGGTCTTTAAGAGGAGGCTTGTTGTCTACCTGGCTGGGGTCATTTGAGCCTGGTTCTCTCCTGCCCAGGGCAGAGGGTCGGACTTGATGATCTACAAGGTCCCTTCTGGCCCTACTTCTATGAATCTATGAATCACAGGCACCTTCCTTCTCCCTCTCATCCAGATATAATGACTGAAATCTTTTCTACTGCTTTAGGAAAAACTTTCGGCCTGTTTGAAGACTCTGAGGGAAAGGAGAGAAAACCTCCTGAGATTGAAACAGGCTGGAGAAAGGAAAACCCAGGAGTATCTGGTAGGTGCCTTGGGATCACAAGGGGGAGGGATTTCCGGGGCTGAGGGGCAGTTACCCAGTACCACCTCCAACACAATTCACCAGAGAAGCTTTGTGTGTGTGGTCCTTGCAGGAAGCTACTCTTGGCTGACATCAGGGATCACAGTGGGACACAAGGGAAGAAGGGGGAGCCTGAAGTATACCAGGCCCTGACTTGGGCCTTAGAGGTCAATATCAGAATTGTGTTTTGCATCCAGAAAGGTAGTGGAAGCCAGAGCAGACTCTGGAGCAACATGCTCCTGACAGCGTACCTCTGTCACAACACACACCATCACGTTCTGCACCAGGTGTAGCTTCTTGATGGTGCTCAACCCATGGTGCAGGCCCATAGAAAGCACATTTCTGCAGTCTGTGCTTGAGATTACAAGGACATGATGATGGTTGCCTGATCCAGACCAGATAGTGTTGGTGAAAGGTGCCCCTAGTCACTCCCATCGATGAGCAGTTTCTTTATTCCCCACAAGCCAGGAGGCTGCCAAACATCATCACCTCTGTCTCGTCTGGATTCAACTTCAGTTGCTTCTCCTGTGTCCAGTCCCCAGCTGTTGCCAGCTTCTGGGTAAGGACCAAGACTGAAGCACCTAGTTCAGATGAAAAGAGGGACAGAGTTGGGTATGATCAGTATAGTAATGGTGCCTCACTCTAAATCTCTGACTGATCTCCCCCATGATGCCCACCTCCCTTATATCCATATTAGGGTCAAATGCAATGGCTAGAAGAAATTACTGTGTATCAGCCAGGGGGAAGGATTTCCAGGTGTCTTGGTTTTTGCCAAGAATCTGCCCCCTGCACACACAGGCCTGTGCTGGTGTCACTTACTATAGTTGTTTTACAGAAACGGGCAGGAGCCGAGAGGCAGAAGATTGTGTCTGAGTTTCAACAGTCCCACCGGTTCCTACAGGAACAAGAGCAACTCCTGCTGGCCCAGCTGGGAAAGCTGGAGAAGAAGGTTGAGAATATGCAGAAAGAAAAAGTCATTAAACTCTCTGAGGAGATTTCCCATCTCAACAAGCTGATCAGCAAAATGGAGGCGAAGTGCCAGCAGCCAGCAAGCGAGTTCCTGCAGGTGAGACTGTGCTGGAGACAGCCCAGAGCCTTGTACCGGGAAGGGAGGGCTGCTGGCTCCTGGAGTCCAGCGGTTAGAGACCACAGGGTGACCCAGTACATCAGAGGTGGACTGTTATTTTGGCCCATGGGCCACCCGGGGAGTTTTGATGAGCTGTTGTGGCCCAGGTCAGAACTGCTCCTCCCCCCACCAAAACTCCCTCTGCAGGATGGGGCCGCGGGCGGGCTGTGTTCAGGAGTGCGACGGGCAGTTGAGGCTGGGATCAGGGTCAGGGTCGCGGGGTGGTGATGGCATGGTGCTGTAGCCTTGGGCAGACCCACGATTCACTGCCTGCACATACCTGTGGCGGGTGCAAGTTCTGCAGGCAGGGTCATGCAGGGAGTGGATCATGGGTCTTCCCTGAGCCCCAGACCAGCACTGTCATCGCCTCAAGATCTTGGCCCCCTCCCTGGATGCAGATCTTTACCTGCCCAGCCATGGGTGCTGGGGGGGGTCTCAATGGAGACCCCAGGATCATGAGCAGGGACAGCTTGGGGCCAGTGCTAGGGCGGAGCACCGGTTCTGTGGGCAGGGACATGCAGGCCTGGGCCCCAGGGCAGAGCCACGATCTACTCGCTGCACAACCCTGCCTGGTGGGTGGGAGTGCAGGGTGTGTGTTGTGAAGGGGTGTGTGTGGTGGGGAGGGCTGTGTGCATGTGTGGGCAGGGGTAGGTGGCCTGTCTGGGAGCTGGGTCCTGGGAGCTGGCGGGGGATGAGGGGAAGGAGAGGCGAGGGAGGCAGGAGGAAGGTGGTGTGTACAGCAAAGCCCTCCCTGAGCCAACCCGTGCCACACTTCTGCCTGCACCCACCAGCCTGGCTGCAGACAGTGTGCACAGCTTACTCTTGGGGCTGTTCCTGGTACAGCTGCAGCTGCCTGGATGCTGCTCAGCTTCCCTCTCCTGCAGTGGCTCCTGCTCCTGTCCTTGCTGTGCCCATCTGCATGGGGAGGAAGCTGCAGCTGGTCAGCTCCTGCCCCAGCACACGGGGTTCTGGCTCCAGCTCCTGACTGCCTTGCACCCACTCTCCCCACCTGCTGTGATGAGCAGACACCCGAGGGATGGCAGAGTGGCTGGAAGGAGCTGGAGCTGGAGCCAGAGCCCTGCGTGCTGGAGCAGGAGCCATCTGGATGAAACTACCTCCCCACTCTGAAGGGTGCAGCAGGGGTAGGAGCAGGAGGAGGAACCTCCACTGAAAGCAAGGAGACCCCATAAGCACCAGGGCAGCTGCAACCACACCAGGAGCAGCCCTGCTGGAAGCTGTTCTCGCTGGCTGGGGCTGTTTGGCACAATCAGGAGCACAGCACTGGCTGCCCTGGGCAAGGCTTGGCCCCATGTGGAGTGCTGTGGGAGAAGCCGCAGGCCGGATCCTGTCATTTGGTGGGTGGGAACTGGTCCATGGGCCGTATTTTGCCCACCCCTTTGGTACATGCATCACAGACATGAGAATTGTTCTTGATTTCTGAAGAATTAGACGCACACATGCCAGAGGTAGAAAAGCCTCAGCAACTCAGCCAGTCATTAACTCTGGAGGTTACATAGAGCTTCTTTATGTTCTTGTTTCCAAATGCACCCCTGAGATCCCCAGGGTGTGACATGGGCGACTCATATTGCCTTTCTTTGCCTCCTAGGATATCAGAAAGACCCTGAGCAGGTACGTGGCTTTACTCAACTGCTCACATGGGCTTATGATGGGAAGTGGCTGCAGACCAGAGTAGACTTGTGCCTCCCAGGAGCTCAGTAGTCTGGTTGGGGCAGCAGGACATAAAGATCTGCAGTGACCTTAATCCTGAGGGGATCATTTCTCGAGAGCTGAGGGGTTGTTTGTGCTGTTGGACAGGCCATTTTTAAGCAAAAGCCTCTTCAAGGGAAGAGACTTTCCCTGAAGTTTGGCTGGCTCTGGGCCCTCGGCGTAGAATACAGCCCATTCTTTGCTAGGTCATTGGTCACGATTCTACCCAGGTCGGCAGTGACAAAGGGCAGTGGGGAAACCTCTGAATGGGGCAGTGTGAGGGACGGTCGCACTGCCACTGCCTGTGCTGCACCTCCATGGAGCAGGGCTGAGCAGGGAATGGCACGGAGTTCTGTCAGTTCATTCACTCACCTGAGATGGGTTTCCCCAGGTGTGAAGAAGGGGAGATCCCACGGCTGGTGCCAATTTCTCCTGAGCTGGAAAGGAGACTCCGGGATTTCTGCCAGACAACCTGTGCACTGACAGAGACTGTGAGGAAGTTCAAAGGTATGGAGAAGGGATGTGGGAGGGGATGCAGAGAGGGGTGTCTGTGGCTATGGGAGGAGATGGGCTCTGGTCTATTGGCTGAAAACCAAGTTATTTATAAATGGCACAGAGCCCACAAACTGAGTGGAGGTAGGAGAGCCCAGGTATTAACATGGTATGTTCATGCACCCCATGACGTCAGAAAGGCCCCTATATAGCCAGATAATTGTCAGTCTTTCCCCAAGACAGAGCCAGGCAGGGCATGTGCTCTGGGCTGCGTCACTCGCAGCTGTACGAGCAGTCGGTGGGAGCTGCAGGAGCCCAGCTCCTCTGAGTGCCAGGGCTTGGTTGCTCGGTGGTTGGCATCCAAAATAGAGACTCCTAATCCACAGCTTTTTCTGAAATATGTACCAGAGGTGGGAGCTGGGCTGCAATGTCCTTACCAACCCGACAGCAGGAAGTGTCATGTCTGTGGCCTTTCCCCCTCCAGACACTCTGCCGTCTGCCTTGGAGAAGAGAAGCAGGGGTCCATCAAAGCTGTACAACAAGGGTAAGCTTTTGTGGGGATTGTTTCACAGCAAATTCCCAGAATCCCACACAAGCCACGAACAGTTTCTCTTCTCTCGGACTGACTTGTACCTTCTTGATTCAGTGATGGGAGGTGGCATTTGTCCCTCCAGGCTGCTGTATCTCTCAATGTCCCTGGCAGACTTCCCTGCTTTTTCTCTCGCCGCCTCCCTCTTCCAGTTGCTCCCTGGTTTTGTGGGGGAAGCGACTAAAGAGGCTGATGCTTTGTGCCACCTCCTCACCCCCTGCATTGTTCAAGCAGCTCCCCTCCACAGCTGCCTCTTCACCTCCATTCCCAGCCTGGGAGTGCAGGGCAGGTCAGAGGAGGGAGCGTGAGGCTGTCGCCTGCCTCCTCTTGCCCCCCCTCACTCACAGCTCTGGGCCCCTTCCTGCCCGTGTCCCTGCTCCTGGGAATGGGGCAGCCCCCAGGGGGGCCAAGGAGCAGGAGCGGCTGCCAGTGCCCGGCTGTGGAGGCGCGGGGGCGGCTGTCCCAGGGCAGAGGCAGCTCCTGGGGCCAGGACGATCCCAGGCAGGACAGGGAGGTGGGGAGGGGGAGGAACGGCCCCGCCTGCCCCGGGGCTGAGCTCTGCCCTGACGCTGCGATTCTCTCTGCCAGTGACGGTGACTCTGGATTCAGACACGGCTCATCCCTGTCTCACTGTGTCTGCGGATGGGAGAAGTGTAAGATGGGCAGGAACATGGCAGGATCTGCCCAACAATCCTGAGAGATTTGACTCTGAGCTCTGTGTGCTGGGCTGTGAGGGATTCACCTCCGGGAGACACTGCTGGGAGGTGGTTGTGGCAGAGGGAGTCTGGGCCATGGGGGTGGCCAAAGAGTCCATGAGGAGGAAGGGAGAAATCAGTTTTATCCCCGAAGAGGGGATCTGGGCTGTGCTGTGCTGTGGGGGTCAGTTCCAGGCTCTCACGGCCCCTGCTCCCACCCGCCTGTCTCTGCGCTGGGTGCCCAGGGGGGTGCGGGTCTATCTGGACTGTGCAGGGGGGCAGGTGTCGTTTCTTGATGCTGACACAGGGGCCCCGATCTTCACCTTCCTGCCGGCCTCGTTCACTGGGGACACAATCCGGCCCTGGCTCTGCCTCCATTTCAGTGTTTTCAATCCATTCTGTTTTGGTTCAGTCCAGCTCAGACTCTGCCCCTGAGCCAGGCATGAGATGTTGCCCAGCAAATGATCACGTGGGTGTCTCTGGCCTTTTTCTAATTGCTCTCTCTGACCATGGAGGACTCCCTTCTACTCAGCCCTTCCTCCCTCTCTCGGACCCAGGTGATCTCTCTGCTCTTAGAAGAAGCCCAGGCTGTGTCTGTACAGACCACCCCTGCCACTGCTGCAGGGTCCCAAGGTGTAACAGGACTTGGGCCCCAGGGACAGCTGTGACACGTCCTGGTGGCCACAGGGCTCCTGTTGTGCTCCAGCTCTAGGGTGCCCTCCCTTTTTTTTCATCAGCACACCCTTGTTAGAAGAGCTGAGGTAGGAAAAGGGAAGTTGCCCCCAAGGATCCTAGTGCGAACCCTGGTCTGGCTACCTGTTCACGGATACTTCTCATACCCCACTGATCTTACCCCATGCTTTACGTTAAGTGGGCCCTCCTGACCTGTACACACCACCCAGAACACCAAATGCCTCATGGGCTGTTCACAGCCTCCAACCTCACAGGTGTTACCACATATCCATTAGAGGAGAGTCACCCCCAGTCTCTGTTCCAGTCATTTAGGCCTCTTAAGCCTTTATCAATCTCTGCTAATTTTTAGGCTCAGGCCTCTTATACGTTATCATACTCTACAACTTTTTGGGCTCAGGCTTCTTCGCCTTTCTCAATCTCCACCCCTCTTGGGCCCTGGTCTTGCCACTCTTAGGTGCTGGGCCCCGGCCCTATCTCTTGGCTCTCTCTCCCTCTCTTGCCCTCTCTCCAGCTGAGCCTCTGGCCCTGGTTCTTGTCCTCTCAGGCTATGGCTGCTTTTGTCTTGTCCCTGGCAGGTTCAAGCCTCGTCCCCTCCGGCACCCGGGAACCTCCAGTCCCTTTTCGGTCCGCTGGTAATAGCCACCACAAAAGAAGCACCCCCTGCCCAGAGCAGCCCAGGGCTGGGGGCTCCCTGCAAAGTGCCTCTGGGCATCCTCTGGCCAGAGAGGGCCCAGCTGGGGATGACTTCCTTGGTGGAAGGAGAACACTCATATCTTTGGATGAAGCAGGAGACTGAGCCGGAGAAAGGCTGTGGGATCTTCCTAGAGGTTAGTGGGCTGCTTGTTGCCTCTGAAAGCTGGTCCAAGTTAGAAGGCAGCAGTGCGGTGTTTCGGTTTCGTTTCTGTTTGCCTGTCTGCAAGTGGAATCATTGTCCTGTGTTTTGTCTTATGCAATAAACCAATTCCCACCTTACTGTTTGTGTTGTGATAAAAGTGATTTAGTGGCAGCTGGCAGCAGCAGGTTTCACTGCTCATACAAAGAAGGCACACCTATTTTTGCAAGCCTATAGAAGCCAAATGCTTGTTGGTTCTCCACTAAGCTGGCAGGCCTGGCCAGGGTGCTGGTCAGATTGAGTCTTGCTAAGCAGAGAGGAATCTCCCATGAGCAAAACCCAGTCTCAATCTCAAGATACAGGAGGACACTGGGTAGAGAGGTCTTTGTCCTGTAGATGACCACCAAGCCAGTATGGGGGTTAGTCACGGACCCCTGTGCTAGACTTGCCCAGAGCCAAAAACCTGAGGTCCAGACCTGAGGGGACTTTGAATCTGCAGTGTGAAGCCCTCTTCCCTGGTCTCAGCTGGCCACCTGCTAGAGGCTATTAAGGTTTTAGGCCTTAGAATATTTACTATTAATTATTCTCTGATGTGAATGATCCTGTTATTGCTTAAGGTAAAAGAGCATTTTATTGTTCTTAGGCATTGGCTTCACATGCCTCATGTGTACTGCTTTGCTGTTTCTGTAGCCGTATTTTTCTCTGCCATTAGCTGTATTTCAAAGTTTAAAAACTCTTTCCTTGAGCCCTTGATTTTTGTGGTCCTGAGTCCTGGAACCTTCTTTGGCTCCCAGAAGCATGTAGGAGTCAACACTCTACTGCAGGGCTTGGCAGCCTGTGACTGGTGAGAGGGCTCGATGCAGCTCATGAAGAGGTCCAGTCCTGCCTGCCGAGGTCTGATGCAGCCTGGGGGATTGGTGGTGTAGAGCTGCATTGGGATGCATGCCCCCTCTGCAGCATCAACCTCTGCTGCATGTGCCCTTCTCCTGGCAGTGGGGTTGAGGATTAGCAGCAAGGCTGAGCACAGGCAGCTCGCCACTCCAGTGGTGAGGGGCTGGTGCCTGCCCCTGGGGCCAGGCTGTAAAGGGCAGCTTGCACCAACAAAAGGTTTCCCCCCTGCCCTACAGAGACACCAGCTCATCAGCACTACAGCACAGGAGAGCCTGGGTGTGGCAGGGCAGTGTTGGTGTTTGCCACTTTAAGGGTTGAGTCAAACAGCCAGCAGGTGCTTGATTGTGGCAGCTATTTAAAACACTGGCTGCCTATATTTTCTCTCTCCTTCATATTATCTGGGTCATACAGGGAGTGGATCGTGGTTCTTCCCTGGGCCCCAGCCCAGCACTGTCATCATGCCAAGATCTTGCCCTCCCTCCCCAGATGCTGCTCTCCGCCTGCATGGACTGGGGGTGCCGACAGAGAGGATGGGATGAGGGACGGGGTCACAGGGTGGTGACAGTGTGGTGCTGGAGCCTGTTGGCACTGGATTCACAACCCAGCCCTGATACCTTTGCTCTGGGCGAGCACAGCCCTCAGATCGACCACAACCCCCGCCAGTTGATAATAGGCCAATTTACTGATACACAGTGATAGGAAATAAAAGCAACGCAGGCAAAGCAAATACAACAGACATTACCCAAATGTCCCAGTCCCATAATCATAGTGGTCCTTTTGGCAAGTATGTATTATGGGACTGGGAAATCTGAGGTTCTTTGCTTGATTGTCTGACGTCAGCAACCTTGGAGGTCGGGGGCTGATGCCAACTGTTCCCCCCGCTGTTTTGAAAACTCTGACTTTTGTATTCTTTTTTCTCTTGGTGAGTTCTGATGACTCTTGATCCATGGCTGTCACTGGTTGATCTCTCTGTGCCCGTCACACAGTCCACGTCCTGTGTCGTCAGCCAAAACTCCATTTTCCTAAATCTATCACATGCCCACATTGTAATTTGAGGCTTTACTGGTGTTGTCCTAATTTGGTCTGTTCCCTGAAGACTGGAAAGCTTAACGCTTTTTGCAAGCAGGCACTATGGCCCTGGAACCAGGCCTATCTCTATTATAAAAATAAAGTTTGGATGTTTTCAGTTTACCCAGGATGTGTGGCCTTGCTGTTTTCCTGCCTGGGTAAGACACCCTGTCTGCTTCTGAAGGGTGAGAAACCTGTGTATGAGACCCAGTCTTTTAAAAGTCAATTAACCCTTGCTGCTATAGCCATTATTCTAATGCAGCGGTTCCCAGTCTGTGGTACGGGTACCACCAGTGGTATGCAGGCAACCTGTTAGTGCAGGGGTGTCCAACCTTTTTGAATGTGGGGCCGGATCACGAACTTTTTAGCATCCAATGGGCCGGTGAGCCATATTCAAAGACGTCACGGGAAGTGATGTCATGTGACCTTTGGCACCAGTGAAGTTGCAGGGGTTGACATGGTGCTGGTTGACAAGGCATGCATGCCTGGGTTGACAAGGTGCTGCAGGAGCCACTTGGCTACAACTGGGTTGACCTAGTGCTGGAGAAGCCGCAGAGCCAGGCCGGGGATAAC